TGGTGTGTTTGTATAATTTTATCTTTAGCTTCACAGGGGATTGTGATTCTAATCTAATCTGCTTTCAATTCCACTCACATTTTTTTGACACGTCTACAGAATCCTACTATATATAAACGGCAACGTCTGTCTGTCTGTCTGTAAGTCTGTCTGTCTGTCTGTCCGGAAATTCGGAATCACCTGAAGAGCCAGTTGGAGGGGGCGGGTCAAGGGTGGGTTGGGTAGGGCATGGGCCAAGATGTACGGAACACACATGAACTAAGCTAAGCCCCGCCCACTGTGGGCGGGGCGTGCGCACATTAGTGAGCTACATTTTTCAAAAATTCGTAGTTCGGTTCCAAAAGAGCCCCGAGAGCGGAAAAAGTGGCAAACGATAGGCAATCAGTTGGCGGACGAAATGAGTGAGACAAACCCATTCTGGGCGGGGCGTTCTATAGGTGGGCGGTGCTTGCTACGAAACTTTCAAAAATTCGTAGTTCGGTTCCAAAAGAGCTCGGAGAGTGGGAGAAGTGGCAAACGATAGGCAATCAGTTGGACGAAATTAATGAAGCACACCCCTGATGTTCGCCGAAGTGAACGGTGCCGAGGACAAAAACCTCAAAACGCACCGAAAAACCCCACGAAATGGGGAGTAAGGTGAAACTGAGCAATGGTTTGGCAGATGAAGTTAGTGAGGGATAACCGTAGGGAGTATACCAAATGGTTGGTACCGTCGGCAATAGTTTATTCTGCGATTCCTCATCACTAAGGGGAGTGCCGCATAGAAAATTTTGATGACTGTCTTCTAGGGGGAGGGGGGGGGACGAGGGGGTATATACAAGCAGTGAAACGGTAAAGTGCGGTAATTCTCAAAACAATTTTTTTCGACCCGGCCGATCCGACTGGCCCTCCCTCTCATGGAAAACTTCTCACCGGGACCCACTTCACACGCGGAAGGAGGATCGGAAGCTTTAAGATACCGGCCCGGGAGCCCAAATGTCCGACCGATGCTGATGCTCGTATCGCTTCATTTGCGAAGTACAATATGAAGCGAAGGGATTGATATGAAGCGGCTGCGGTGCTGCATGGATATATGAGTACATACATGCAGCCGTATCTACCGTAGCGGTTATTGGCACGATGCCAGCGGGAAACTCGTCCAAAATTGCTTTCTGAGTCGTATAGAACAAAGCCTTTTTGCAAATTTTTGTCCGTTTCACTTGGCTTTTTTGCCATTTTCCGTACTGTATTGCATCTCTGCACCAAACTATCGTGCCACATGCCTTAAGTGATATTGCTTGTATTGTACAGGACACCTGATCGTTGTCCCTCAAGACAGATATGAACGAAAAGAGACCTTCATAGGGGGGCACCAACCATTTCTGCAGGTCAGAGCGCTGTCCGGAATTTTCGCTCCTGTGAAAACGAAGGCTGTGAAACTAAGTAACACTCTCTTCTGCCATACTTCGACAACGAGCACTCTGTTCGTAAGCATCAGGTGTCACCCCCTGCCCAACTGTTCAACACGGATTCTCGAATTTTCAAAACAACCGTTAATCACAGTAGTTACAGTCCCAGTCTGTCAGGGCGGTGTCAGGAAGGCCGCCATCGGGGCCATGAGTTGGCTAATTTTATGCCCCTTAACACCGCCCCGACTTACTGCTACGACATCGACTGTAACCAGCACTTGTGCCCCCATGAGCACACAACCCTAACAAGTGTTAAATAAACGGGCATTGATAACGACACATCCAAATCAGACTTTCTTAATAAATATTTTTTTTACAATAAAACTTTCATATTAAAAAAATTGTACTCAATCACTGTTTCGATCCCTTCCTCTTGTGAGTCGGCATGATCGGAAGTATTCTTTTGTTGGTGTGCATGCCAGTTTTCGGGGCTTCCACGGTAAGATGTCCGTCGTTGTCAATTAGGGTTTGTACGGCATCTAGATCGCAATCTTCGGGGAGACGAAATTCGTGGACGAAATTCCTGAATGAGAACGGTCGGAACAGGGTTAAGAATAAGCACATCGTATGCTAATAGGCATTACTTCTTGATGTAGCCATGTTCACTCTTCAGTTCTTGGTGGCCTTCGATGGTGAGATCACGTCCTTCCAATTGCACCTTCAGCTCCTCTGGTCTGAAGTGCGACACATCCAGGGCAACGAGCGAATTTCTTGTCATCATTGACGACCTGGACGTTTGCCATACTTTCTCAGGACCAACTAAGCAATTCCGTAGTGAACCCTCACCTCTTTGGTTTGATTTCCCACATGAAGCATGGAGTGATCGGCATCTCTCCAGTATGGCATGATCTGACGGCTCATCCAATCCATATCGTGCATTGGTCCAAAACGATCCAAGGCCCTGAATGGCTCCTCCAGCATGCGCTCGAAACGGTTCACGGGCCAGAGAGCCATGATGTTGGTCACCTACACTGAAAAGAGATGGCTACGGTAAAAAAGAGCCAACCAATTAGAGTAAGCCATCACGACTGGAACGACCATGGAGCACAACACCAACACTAAATGTGACTTTTGCACGGGATGTCTCCCATTCATCGGCCTAGGCCGGGGTTCTGGAAGTAAAGTTAGAGTGGACCCGCAATATCTCCAATGCTCGATTGTTCACCCACGAAAGCAGGGATTAGGTGTGGGATGTTCGCTTGTACTGCTGAAGAGCGAAGTAGAGCAGTACTTTTAACGCACGCCCGGAAGAACAGAAAATTTTTCCTTTTCCAGACCCCCCCCCCTTGAGGAGATTTGACCAGAGAACAACGTCGTAAGAACTGTATCGCCCTCAGGCAAAGAAACTAAGATTGGTGGGAGACCTTCAGAAATCATCTCGGAAAAGTCTATATGGGGTTGAGGCGACCCACCTGTTCGTTAACTTTCCAGCATTCACCCACAAAAAAGGATATTAACGTGGTGTCAACCCCTGGACAATATAGACCTCCCACACACGCCCTACAACGTGAACGCGACGAACCCTAGAGGGCCAAGAGGCTCTCCAACTTCAGAAAGAGAAAGATCTTAAAAACGACAAAGGAAAACTAGTTACCACTAAGGTCTCCTTTTATAATCGTTGGGGCAGTCTTCTAGAAGAGGATTATGGGCGGGAAATCGACTAAATGGACTGATCTTCGATGATCATTGTCCTATACAATTTTTCTCCATTTTTGTGAAGAGTAATGCAATCGATACGTTTACTTTTGACTGGGTAATAAGGCTGCTCTTGAGTAAAATTTTCGTTAAACGTAATCACTTGCTGAGGTGATGGGGTCAGAGAACAAGTCAGAAAATAGGTCAGAGATTTTAATGAGTTTCCAGGTCAATATTCCCGCCATTTTGTCAAGTTGGCGCTAAATTGGGGCTATAAAAGGCTGCCCTTAGGGTGTTCACTGTAGTCTTTTCGGTCTTAGTGAGAGTTTCCACATTCTACTGAGATTTCTAGCTAACTTGTAGCTTCTTCTCTGGAAACCTTTTTTTCTCTTTCGCATATTGTGGTTAGGGTAACCCTCCTCTGGTCCATCGTTACGGACTTTTTGAACATTGAAGTGACTGATTTTTCAGTTTCATTTGATAGCTTTAAGGTAGTGTGGCAGCAATATGGCTCTCTGGCCCGTGGACCGTTTCGAGCGCTTGGTGGAAGAGCCGTTCAGGCGCCTGGATCGTTTTGGTCCAATGCGTGATATGGATTGGATGAGCCGTCAGATCATGCCATACTGGAGAGATGCCGATCACTCCATGCTTCATGTGGGAAATCAAACCAAGGAGGTAATGTTTTAGGCTAGGAATGGTTAGCTGGTCCTGAGGAAGCATCGAAATCTTCCAGATCGTCAATGATGACAAGAAATTCGCTGTCGCATTGGATGTGTCGCACTTCAGACCAGAGGAGCTGAAGGTGCAATTGGAAGGACGTGATCTCACCATTGAAGGCCACCAAGAAGTGAAGACCGAACATGGCTACATCAAAAAGTAATACCTATATACATATGATGTGCTCTCCCCACCCTAGCCCGATCATTTCCTTTCAGGAATTTCGTTCACAGATGGGCTCTTCCCGAAGATTGTGATCTGGATGCCGTACACACACAGATCGACAACAACGGACAACTATCCGTGGAAGCTCCGAAAACTGGCCAACATACCAACAAGAGGGTCATTCCAATCATGCCTGCCCTCAAGAAGAAGTAATTGAACAGTTTGATTTTATATTGAGATTTTTACTGTAAAATACGATGATGCATGCGGAATAAACACGTTTTATCAACGTCTCGTAAACCAGAGCACCGAGGGGCGAC